TTGCGCCCTCTACTATATATATATATATAATATTTGTTACATAACTAGATGAAAGATTGTGGTATAGTGGAAAAGCAAGATTTGTGGAAGTGCCTAAAACGGGGTATTGGACGATCAACGTAAAAATGTAATATTTAAAACTTTAACTTCGATATTCAACTGTATATTGAACATTTTGTATGTGTATAACTTTGAAAGATTTTCTTTAGAAAACATGTATCATGTATTTTTCAAAACATTAATTTTTGAAAGCAATTATGAAACATATCACATACTTATTTAGCATTATAACTGCACATGAAATAAATTGTTAGATTATTCATTAATTTTAATCAATCTTGTTATCATCAAAACATTTTTAGAGTATAGACGTTTCATACATCTTAGGTTCTAAAAAAAAAAGATCTTTTTTGAACTTGCCAAAGAAAATTACTTAAAAGCCTTAAATACTACCTAACATTTAGTAACCTAAATTGGTAATTTTCTCTCATTTGAGTCTTTATTTTTGTTTGGTGACGTCTAGCCAAGCACTATCCAATTCTCCGATACTTTCGATTGTTTTTTATTCCCTCTTCCAAGACCTTCCCTAATCACCCAAGCTAAGTTTAAGACTAATTTTAGAAGCTTAAAACTTTGGCATATAGGGTTGGTGCTGGTTTTTAACAAATGATTAAAGCCCTAAAACACTAGTTAAAAGTTCATGGGCTTAGGTGGTGTTTTGGGCCTAAATTTTAATAAAACTTCAAAATTTGCTATTAGTAGAAATTAATTAGAACAAATTTAATCAACTTAATATGCATCGATTTAAGGTCATAAAACATTTTGGAAAATTAATAATAAATTTTAGAAAAAGATTAGCTAGAAAAGATCGTTTTGGAAAAAAAATTAAAAATTTACTTATAATAGTGTAACTTACGAAATTTTAAATAAGAAATTAGAAAATATATTAACTATGAACTAAAAATGTTTAAAATTAAATATTTAGGAACTATTTGGCCCTTTTAGTAAATTTGATAAGAAGCTAGCTAGTAAAGAAAAACTATAGCGAGAAAAATTGTAAAACGAGTAAAATGATCTTTTAAAACTTAGAAAACTATTTTCCAAATTAAAAATAAATACATTTATATGAGCATGGTGCATATGTCTATTGTATGATTTGTTAATAAAATTTAATTTAATATTCTATTTTGGCTTGATCTATGCATAAAATATCACCAACATTTAAAGGATTGCAACAAAAAATAATAATCAATGATCAGATATAGAAAAATTAGATAGTTTAAAACCATCACGTGTTCATGATTTCAGTCAATCACTATATAACATATTTAAGTTTTTCAATGTATAAGAAAAAATTAACAACACTATTACGTGTCATATAAAGATTAATTTCAAAGTTGAAATCTAACATCACTAAATGAAAATTTTTTACCAAAAAAATATTTTTTAAAAAAATTACCCAAATGGACCACCCTTTATTTACACAACTAGACTCGTTTACTGTAGTAGCTAAAATTTCGGTCTCCAGAGAGTTTAATTTTGAGTTGCCGTTCCTCCATCTCCGATGAGTATCCCTACTGGAATTCGGTTCCCGGAGAACCGAATTTCAAGCAATGATTTTATGTTTTTTTTTAAAATTAATTTTTTTAAAAATAAGAATTTAAAGTTAAAAAATATTAAAAATAAAATATTATTATTACAATGAAATTAATTTTTTTTTATATAAAATGATAAATAATATTATGTTTACATATTTATTTAAATGTGCATTAATAATTTTTAATATTAATATGATAATTATTATTTATATAAAATAACTTAATTATTACATTGATTAAAATAAGTTAATTATTATTTAAATAAAGTAAGTTAATTATTATTTGAATAAAATAACGTAATTATTATTTAAATAAAATAACTTAATTATTACATTGATGAAGAGAAAGTGCATTAAAAAAATTCATAACAATATTACATGAAGACAATGTGAATTACATAAGGTTTAATCTTTGTAATAGTGCCCAGTCCAGAACGAGGGCGACGTCTATTACATCCTGGGTTTCGTCGAAGTGGTTGTTACTCTGAAGGATTTTGATCATCATCAAGGATTGGATGTTGGAATGCAGCTAAGGAACTACTAGGTTCATTAGCAAAATTCGGTTGGTAAAGAGATTGCATATAAGACTGTGCTAAAGATGGAGTTGTAAGATCAACTCCAAATAAGTTTGTAAAGAAATCTTCTAAAGTTGTTGCAAATGAATGTCTTCTATTAATTATGTTTACTTTTGGCATCATGTTGTGTGGAGGAATTGAAACATGTTGGTGAGTGATAGAGGACCATCCTTGAAGCATCATATAGGACCTATCACAAGGTCCATGGCTAGGAGAGTAAAGGAAGATGAAGAACACACCACATCAAAAGCCATGATCATCATGAGTGTGGATTTTGCGCCCTCTACTTAGTT